TAGGCATCTTTCATTAACTATTATTGCACACACCACAATTGCCCCTTACTGCAAAAGTTACATAGTCTCACTCAAAGGTCTGACATGAAGAGATTCTAGTTAGTGACTATTTGGATTTGTTTCTGTTACATTGATTATTTATTTAATATTTAATGAATCCCTCCCAGTCACATCAAATATAGAATCATGATTATTGAGTTTTTATTTGGTCTGTTTCAGATGACATTGGCCACTATTAGTTTTTTATTGGTCATGAAGCCTACAGTATGAAATGTACAAAACATATGGCGTAAGTGTGTGACACTAAAGTAAAAAGTATAATAACTATATTAATATAGTGTGCAATATGTATGAAAGTTGCTTGGATTTTGTACAAACAAAATACACAAACCTAATTTCATATACAAGAAATAAAAACTGTATTTTACAACATCCAGTTATCAGCATTGCAGTCATGATAGATGCACTTGGTGTATAATTGGAGGAAGTTCTAAACAGGTTTTGGGTTAACATCTTATTATTACTCAGCTCAACCACACAGCACCTCCTGTGCTCAGCACAGTGAAGTGACATTCCTGTGGTCAGAGTGCAAAAAACAAACAAAAAAAACAGAAGTATGTTTTGAAATGAGAACTTATACTAACTTCAGTAGTTGACCAACAACAGATGTCAGAAACACAGTATCGTATGTTGACTCGTTTTTTTATAGAGAAAAATAAAAATAAAAAACATCTAAAGAAACATCTCTCCAAAATATTGATTTAGATTGCATTTTCCAATGCAGATTTTGAAAAAAAAAAAAAAATCCACAGAACTGGATTATTATTGTAAAATTCTTTGTACAAAAATATGAACATTTATAAAAAATTATGCAGTTGGAAAAAAAAGTAATGGGTGACTGATTAAGAACATAAAGTAATAAATAAAGACTAGAACTGTTGAAAGCAAAACCACATTTGTTGATCATAGCAAAGACAGTTGTATATCCTAAAAACCATGACTACTACTTTATATTTACTATAGATATATATATATTAGATATATTACATGGGATACATGAAACAGAGAGGAACTCTTCCATGCGACAGGGATTTCATGCAGAAGATGAAATTTCCTCATTGGACTCTGAAAGAGAGGACACAAGATCAAGTTGAAAAACAAAGCATGAACAAACTTCCTGTTCAGTGTCAGATTGACTTTTTTTTTCTCCTGTGCAACAAAGTGCCAGTTCCCCAATCGGTAATCTTAAACTCAACCAATAAGATCTCATGACATTAGTGAGAGTTTTGATGTACTGTAGACTCTGTAATGTGTATCTGTGTTAAAAATAACTTGCAAGTGACAGACTGGATGTTCTGCTTACTCTATTTATTCACTACCTCAAAGCTTAATCTGTGAAACTACAGGAGTAAATTGTTTGCAGTGTCTTACCTGTCCAGGTTCGATAAACAGGAAACTTGAGTGCAGGGTGTGTGATCTCCACGCAGACTCTAAAAGGCGCTCTCTCATTTTCTCTAGGACTCCTCCTCAAGCTGACTCTGTTGATGTGCAGTGCGCCTGGGTCGTCCTCTCTTTCTTTGTCACTGTCCTCATCCACCTCTGACTTTGTTTCCTCATCCCTGTCAATGTTGTTATTCTCCCCATCAATGTATTCTATTCCTTCAGCGTCAGGGTCTGTGACAGCAGCTCTTGTTTCTGTAAAGTAACAGCAGTTCAAAATTAAGACAGGACCAGATTTCATACAAATAAAGTAAAAAAAAAAAGGTTTATAATGCAGGTTATATTTTAGATCTCATACAAGAGAATGTATAAGCACTGAATAAAACAAATGCTCAACCATCTTGAAACATTTTAAAGGGGTATTTGAGCAAATTAGCATGCACTTTAGTAAAAATGGAACAGATCAACAAAAGAATAGTAAATGTCAATACAGCAGAGATCCTAACATCCGGCCCCTAATATAATTCAAGCTCCAATATATGTACTGTATATGCTTGTTCCTACACTTCCCATAATGCAACAGGAACAACATGTTTCATTAAATGTTTCTTGACAAGTAAATACCCCTGATAACATCACTAGAATTATTTTCCTGACAACTATACACATCAGGCTGAATAGTACTCCTCATTAAGAGTAACCTGTTCATTTGTTTCCCTTTAAAGGTCCAGTGTGTAAGATTTAGGAAGCTGTATTGGCAGAAATGGAATATAAAATTCATAGGCATGTCTTCATTAGTGTATAAACACCTTAGTATAGGAATCTTTGTGTTTTTGTTACCTTACAACAAGCTGTTTTTATCTATAGATGCTGCGGGTCGCCTTCCATGGAGCCTGCCATGTTTCTACAGTAGCCCAGAACAGACAAACTAAACACTGGCTCTAGATAGGTCCTTTTGCCTTCAGCTTTTTCATTGCCAAGACGTCAGATGCCACTAAATTTTACACACTGGACCTTTAAATAATACCAACTTTGAGCAAAGTCGTGTTTTGTGGCTAAGAGTTGTGGGATTTGTAGCCTAATGCTAAAGAAAAATCATTGTTCTAGCTTTTATATTTTTCTCAAATCCCACTGTAAGATATTTATTTATTTCAGATACTCTAGAGATTGATCTCTGTCATCCTGTTTAGTTTTTTTAGAAAGACTAATGAAAGAAACAGTATAAGAAAACTATAAATGTGTGTATATATTAAGGTCAAGTACTTATTGCGTGTCCATTCTTTGGTCTCTCCAGCTGTTTGCTCGTCTGACTTGGCAGGCTTGTGGACCTCTCCAGGGCGCACACACTTTTCAGCTCCCTCTGTCCGTCATCACTTAACTCCTCTGTCTCACTGGACACCAATGGTGAGAGAGTGGGTCCCCCCGCTGCCCAGACTAATGTGACCTTTGGGTGACCTCCCTTCAGCAGGAGAGAGAACACACCAACCCCTTCGCTGCTCCAGCACACTGAGATCGACGGAGGAATGAAGGGAGCAACTGAGAGAATACAAACAAAGTGTAATTGAATGAAAAACAATAAAAGTAGGTGGGTTCAGAGCAATATCATCCATATTGTAAGGATAACATTCACAAGAGCAAGTTGTTTTCTGTAAAAGTGCCTATCATGATTCATACCAATGTCAAAATTTCTCCAGTGTCTCTCAATAGGCTCGGGTAGGGAACAATGCTCCACTCTGCAAATAATCCCTCCTCCTCTCTCCTTTTTCTCCTGATTTGTCGCCCTTCTCTTCAGAATGGCTGTGGCCCTGTAGAGTCTGGGATGAGTCTGTATGGGGCCCCACATCTCTCCTCCCTCTATCACTTCCTCCTCTCTGTCATCTCGCTCCCCATCTCTGAGCTTCAGCCAGGTGACGGATATGTTCGGAGGGTGGAAGTCTGTGATTTCACATCCCAGGGTCTGATCTGTGGCAGAGGTGGAGCTGACGATTTCAGAAATGCACGGGCTCTTGATGAACCCTATTTGGGATAAAGTGGAGACTTAAGCACTCATTGTTTAACGTGAAATGTAAAATTTAATGCCTTTTCTTCCCATCTTTCTTACCTCTGGTCTCGCGGGTGACCGGTTGCTTCAGGGCGATGTGGTGGACACTGACCCACACTTTAGTGCCTCCCTTTTCCAATTCACTCTGGGGCAGTTTACACTGGCTGAAAGCTGAAAAGAAGCCTTCAGAGTTGGGTCGAGGGGAGGATGAAGCCTGGGAGGCCACAGGACTCAGCTCACCCCCCTCGCAGAACCAGCGGAAGGTAATGACGTCCGGATGGAAATGTGATGCTCTTACTGTCATGCTAATTACTTCTGAAAGACAGAAATTATAGGGATGAAGCCTCTCACAACTAGGAATGTTTAACATGTACTGAACTACAACAGAAGGATGAACTGTTTACTTTACCAGAGTTATTTTGTGTCTCTGCCAGCTGAATTTCTGATACTTCTGGAGCAGCTGAAAGACAAAGGTTACAAAAACTTTTGTTACATAAATTGTGAAAATCATAGAAAAATAGAGGCAATGTGAATGAGAGAAAATCTTTTTCTTACACAGAATTGTAAACTTCTCTGACACCCTCTCCTCCACAATCTTATCTTTGCCTATGTAGGAGACCTGACACTTAAACACCGCCCCCTTGTGGACGGAAATCTGGGGGATGAAGGTGAGCGAGGAGATCAGCTGTTGAGTGCCACTTCCAGATGAGTGCAGCGGCCCCTGAGTGTGCAGCTTGTAGTAACCCATCTCGCCTCTGGAGGACAGCAGGGGACCTTTCTCTGACACTGGGGAGGTGAGAGTTAGACCGTAGGGCAGATGGATGGTGGTTAGGGGGTTATAGAGGCAGTTAAAGTTAGATTTGGAGGTTCCTATGCGCATAAGGTTGTAAATTGTTAGCAGAATTAAGTGTAAAAGAGAAAAACATGGTATGTTTTAGTAGGTGCGATACAAATAAAAGATATTTCATGTGCCAGCATCAATCCAAACACATTTCATTTCCTGTTTTCTTCTATTTATTTCCTTTTATTTTCTCTAGCGATGAAGGAATAGTTGGACATTTTGGGAATGCTTATTCAAGTTAGATGTTTTCTGTTCAATATGAAACATCTGCTAGCAGGTGGTTAGCTTAGCTTAGCTTATCTTAGCTTAGCACAAAGACCAGAAACGGGGAAGCAGATAGCCTGGCTTTCTCCAAAGGTAACAAAGCTCCTGTTCTGCCTGCTGCTTGGCAACTTCGCAGTGATGAAAGGGAGAAAACTACATGTTGTTTTCATTCTTTAATTCTGGTTTTGCTTCTTTGGTGAGCTTTCGGTTTCGCTACTGGTGGCAGCTTCATATTTACTGTAGAGACATGTAATTGGTATCAATCTTCTCATCTAACTCTTGGCCTGGCAGTGAGTAAATGTATTTCTAAAATTTTTTAATTATTTCTTTAAGGTTGGAAACTCCAACCACACTGTGTGACAATAATAATACATATTATGTATGTCAGTGGCTGACTGATGTTCACTGAAGCTTTTCTTTTCTAAAATTACGTATTTTATACAAATTTCCCCAAAGTTCTGCCTGACACATCTGGTAACTTTATTAACTTTGTGATCTCTACTAGGATTCAAAATGTTTCTATTGAACTATGTTTGGCAGCACAGCTTGAGTTTGTGTTTATCGGCCAAGATCAGTAGGGTCAAAGAATTATTTACCAGTAACCGCTGGTTATGTGGATGTGTCTCCTACCTGTGAAGGAAGTGTCAGTGATTGGGGTGTCATTTAGGTACCATGCAGTCTGGACTCGGTCCACCCTCCTGCCTTCAATACTCACTGTCACCCTGCCCTTTTGACCTACAATCACGCGTGGGGGGAGGATGATCCCTGACACACTCAGGGACTTTTGTTTCTCTGAGTGAGGGCAGAAAGAACAGAGATAAATGAGTCAGTGAGACAGATGGAGGCCTAAGGTGGCAGCTATTGTGCAACAGTTACAGCTGTTTTGAAAGCTTATTTTCCTCATACCTGCTGGATCAAGAGTTCATGAAACCACAGTTTCGTAAATTTTACTTTTTCTTGTTAAATATTCACCTAATATGTCCACACTAAAGTCGTTCTCTGTGATGAGGATCACAAACACACTTTACTTCACTTCATTGAATGTTTCACAAGCTAAAAAGGGCGAGGCATGTACCACTGCCTTCATTGCAAAGGAGTATCTGACTCACCATCCCTCCTCCTCCACGAGAAGCCAAAACAGAGAAGGAAGACCAGTACCAGAGAAATACACATCAGAGCCACAGATGCTTTGGCTGATTTAGTCAACACTGGAGGCTCATCTGAGAGGAAGCAGAGAGAGAAACCATAAAAGGCAGTGACAAAGCAAATTGCAAACACTTGTGCAACTGCTACTAAAAGTAGCAAAGTACGTGCTTATAAGGAAGCCAGTCAGTTTTGGCGTCAGATGTCTGAAATGGGTGTAATCTTATGAAATGTACCGTGTGTAAATCTTGTCTTATGGATCATGTCAAGCACTACCTTGTGGATCCAATTTCTCCAGGTACGCTGAGCCGCTGACCGGGTACAATCCCCCAGGTTGGTTTACTGCACACTCCACCTTCCCACTTTGGTCCCTCTGCTCGGGGGTCAAAGTATAATAGCGTCTGGTTCTGTAGGTCCCATCTGGGTTCTGCTCAGTGGCGGGGGGCTCAGGGAGGACTGTGCCATTTTGAAGCCAGGACACAGACACTTCCTCTGGGTAAAAACTCTCCACATCACAGTATAGAGTTAGAGGAATGTTGTTGGAGCGCGAGGGCAGGGCAGAAAGTGTGACAGAAGGGGGATCTGAGGAGAGACAAAGAAAATATTTAAGTCTTTTTGCTTTAGTTCCTCTCACTATTTCTACTATTATGATTGACAGAAGTAGCTATTCTAGTTTTACAACGTGTCGTTAACTGTGATGTCAGTGTGTCACTCACAAGTGACATTGAGTTGGAAATCCAGCTCCTGATAGCTGCCATTGTGTGACACTTTACAGCCAAAGGTCACATTCTGGTCCTCACGGGAAGGGTAGAAAGTCAGGTTGCCCACAGCCATGTAGTACCCATCTGGACTCTGTTCACCTTCAACATTGTAGGGAGGTTGAATTACTTGCCCATCTTTGGTCCAGGAGAAAAAGACAGGAGGAGGGTAGAAACCCTCGGCATGGCATTTAAGATGGCTCTCTTTTTCCAACACCACCCACAGCTGAGGGATCGAGAGAGTCGGGGAAGCTAAAAAAGGGGATAAGTAGAAGAATTTGATGTAAAAAGTGTTCCTGCTTTTAGGTTTTAATGTGCACTTAAAGCTCCAATAAAATGTCAACAACTGAGCAAAGACATACCAAGGATGCTAAGTGTAACATTGCGGGATCGCAGCATTGTGAAGTTGTAGCCGACGGTGCATTCATACAACCCCTGCAGGTCGAGACCGGCTCTGAGGACGGTCAGTGAAAAGTCCCCATTGACAAAATCACCGGTGTCCCAACTGAAGCCTTCCTTTATTTGTGTCGCCGCTTCACTGAATGAGGCGACTTCTGAGCCGTTACTTATCCAGCTGACTTTGATGAGAGACTTGTCTATTTTGTCCCCCGTTACAGAAAGAGGGAACGTCACATTGCAGGGCAGGGTTGCATTTGTGTTTGGGCTGGCCACTATTTTACTTGGAGACGCTGTAAGCAGAGAAAGAAGGTTTAGATGGAGAGAAAATTAGCCTTTACTGAACAGCACTCATTGATGCTCCTTACTGCAACACAGGAGGGTCTATAACATTACTGAAGAGATTGTGTGAACTTTTGGTAAAATGTGCCTTTAATATTTGGTTAATGATGAGTATGATCTTCAACTGCAGTTTAAATTGAAAATACATTACTGTCGGGACAGAGTTCAATGTTTGTATTTGAGTTCAAAACATTTTTGTATTAAAGGGACACTTGCATTAAGCTTTGTATCGTTAGAA